CCATGTAACCCCAGGGCCGATCATTATGTACCCAATACAATATGAACCCAATATAGCCAGCCTTATTATAATACAGCATTAGCAAGCATGCCCTAAAGGGCACCACATATCACCAGTGAAACCTGTAGGCGTAAGGTCACCCTGTGCGAAGCAGGGAGGTTGCCGCCACTCTCCTTGGTCCGTATATTGAGGCGTTACCGAGCCAGTCATCCAAATGTCAGGTCATGTTTGGACAGGGGAAATGGGGATGCAGTTATAGCACCACAAGTTGTGTGTCCACAATTGCCCGTTCATGGCCTGCCATATTAATCCTCAGGAGGGGTGACAACATTGTCCCTTTATTGGAATCCGATACCACCTATGTCCCAGAAAGTTAATCCAATCAGGGGTCGGAGAACAAAAATAGGTTATCAGGGAACAAAATGATAATGATATCGATGGTTACGTGAATATCCATTCGGATACGGATATCCATTCCTGCCAAGGTTGACCTTCGTGAGGTACAGAACTGAGCTGTGAGGCAGGCTATGGGGACCCATAGGCGACACAGTACACATCCTCTGAGGTAGCCCAGAACGTCAGTATGAACACAAGGACCGCTAGGGTCGAACTGTTAAAACAGGCCAATAGGGCCAACAGAAAACAAACTGTGGTAAACTCTAGGAGGAACCTGTTATACAGAAATTACTGAAAATTTTGGGGAAAAAAAAAGTATTTTTGTACATTGTTATAAAACAACTAATATTACCCACTTTTTTGGTAAAATATAAAAGTCGGGGTCACGTCGGGTAAATAGACACCAAACATGTCAAGCTTAAAAATTGCGCGCACTCGCAAAAAACTAGCATACCCAAAATTGGCCATATGCGACGCTTTAAAAGCTTTTACAGCTCATCAATTTAGTGTCATCAGTGATTGATGGCCCGAAAATTATTGCTCTCATTCCGACGTTCGCGGCGATATGCAACATGTGCGGCGTAATAGGCGCAATAGTCGTTTTCGCAGGTATGCGCACCTGACGCACGTTTACATGGGGACTTTTAAAAAAATAGTTTTTTTAATTCTTTTTTATGTGTAACTTTAAAAATATTTGGGGGGAAACTTTTTCCTATTTTTTTTTTTTTCACTTAACTTTATTGCTATCACAGAGACGGCTCTATAGTGTATACACGCCCAGTTACATCCAAGAAGCTCCTGACCGGCCGTGTATACACAACGGCTGGCTGGGAGGTAGTTAAAGCACTTACTTTAAATGATGTCTCTTAATCCGATCTTCTTTCCTGTAGTTTTCAGCCTTCTCTCCAGCGCTGCGGCAAGTCTCCGATCCAGCGCTGACTCCTCTGTCCTTGCTAGCACTTCCTGTCTGCATGCGGGTGCACACGTCTATAGACTTACCTTGTCTCTCCTCGCGTCCTAGCCGAAAATGTGAACTGCGCATGCGCCCAACCCAAGATGCTTTGCGGCCGCCCAAGCAGTTTCACATTTTCAGATGGGAGCGCGCAGGGAAGACACAGGTGAGTTTGAACCACTGTTAAAGCGTTTTTTTTTTTATTTTTTACTTTTTGCATAGATCTACTGCTTGCTAACAGTAATTATATATGCAAAAAAAGCTGAGGGTTTAATAACACAGCGATCCTTTCTGCAACAGCTATCCTTCAGGTACCATTGGGATAATATTTTATAGTTAGTCTTAATAGCTGCCACTTTTCGTAAAGATTTCATGGTTTCCCCAAATTTCAGGTCCCCATGTAACACCCAAATCCAGTTAATGAGCATTAAAGTGGGCGGATAGATTGGGACTTGGCAACACATGGCAGGGTGGTCAAACCAGGGAAGTGGAGATACCCCTGCAGTATAGTCCAAAGGCAAAATATGGGAATTTGTGAGGCACTGGAGTGTTTACAAAATAAAATATGTTACCTGTAGGTGTCTAAAACCGTTCATATTTGGGATATCAAATTCCTCCATAGGTTTACAGATGTATGCGATACCATATTTGGCCCATTCCTTAAAGCTACCGGGGGATACATACTGAGGGGTAAATAAATTTGGAGGAATGAAATAAGGGCGGGTGAGTTGAATATGGACCCTAGTATACTTTAGATCACTGCACACTTTAAAGAGAGAAAATTATTAGTAACTCTTGCAGTGGGGCTATTCCCACACTGCACGAGTTAACTGCTCGTTCTGCACAGCAAGGGTCAACTGCTCGTTTGCATCTAGGGAGGAAAATAAAGCTATGCTCACCTGAGCCTCGAAACAGGCTTGCTCTTAGGCCATTTTCTGGGGCCTCTCTCCCCTCCACTGAAGCAGTCTAAGGAACTGTAAACCATCATGTTCTATACACAGTGCATAGAACGCGAGGATGCCTAGGGACATGCGGGGGAGGAGACAGACTGGAGGGGGCGCTGTCACAGCTGGGCAGCTCCAAGGAACGGGTGAGTATAACAGTTATTTTCCTCCCTAGACCAAAACAAGCAGTTCATTCTTGCACTGAGGGGGTAGCCCCACTGCAAGGGTTAATTATAGTTTTCCCCAGAGTCCTGCTTTAAAAGGTAAACCTTACCACTACAAATAGGTAACCATCCTTCTACTGAGGTTCCGGGAAATGCCGAGTACCCAAAAGCTCACAAAAAGATGCTCCTGCACTGTGCTGGAGCATTACCAGGTAGGATTGTGGTGTCATTCTTATCTAGGTGCAGGTGGAAGTCAGAAGTGAAGAGAAGTTTATACAAAAATTATATACACAAGTTTTTTTCAAGCCCATCTCAGGGCTACACCGGCACTGCAAGGGTTAAGCACCCGTGAAAATGATTGGTTTCATCTGTTACTTCTGCAGCATGTATACAAAGATATACTTAGATGGATTAACATCACCCTTAGGTTCTCAGACATCATTTTTCCCAAAAGTGACAAGCAGAGGGAAGTGTCTCTGTGTCCCATCCCCCCCAGAAAAAATAAATATCACACATCAGTACATATATCCTGTCACCGCTCCTGCGTCCAACCCCCCCACCCCCCATTGCAGCTCTCTGTGTGCCTTATAGTCCGCGCTGCCTTTGCTCATACAAGCGGGGGAGTGCAGCAGGGATCGGAAGGCACACAGATCGGCGCTTGGAGCCGGCTGCCAGCGGGGAGGAGCATCATGTTGTGGCGGGGGATTTTTGTTTAATAGCGGTCACTAGCGGCTTGCCAGCTGCTGATGACAGTTATTAACTTACAGCTAACCGTCAGGGGGACCCTTATAAGTTCATGGTCGCTGAAGCTTACAGAAGGGAAAAAAGCCACCGTCATAAGTGATAGAGTTAAACACAAACTCTTCCAGCTGGCCAGCTCAGTATGGCTTACATCGGTGGCAGGGAAAAGAAAGGTTAAAGGGCAGACAATTCCTTGCCTGTCTAAAAAGCCATGAGGGATAGTTTTTGCAGGCTCCATTAATAAAGAATACCCCAATATGGTGCAGTTTATTGCTACCAGGGACAGAAGGCACCTGGCAACAAGGTATATGTCCTCGGACTCCACAGTGAGGAAAATAATGATTTGATCCCCTGCAGATTTTGTGTTTGCCCACTTCCAAAGAAATGAAAAGGTCTTTCATTTGTATCATAGGTGTATTTTAACAGAATATCAACCAAAGATCCAGAAAACACATGATACAAATGTTCTAAATTGAGTTGCAGTTCAGTGAGTAAAATGAAGTATTTGATCCCCTACCAACCAACCAACAATAATTCTGGCACCCACAGACTGGCTTGTTATGTATATAAAAGACACCTGTCCACAGAATCTCTTTCTTCCATTCAAACCTCACCACCATGGGCAAGACCAAAGAGCTGTCAAAGGACAAGATTATAGACCTGCACAAGGCTAGAATGGGCTACAAGACAAGAAGCTTGGTGAGAAGGAAACAACTGTTGGAGTGATTATTCGCAAATGGAAGGAAAATAACCAATCGCCCTTGGTCTGGAGCTCCATGCAAGATTTCACCTCATGGGGTAAGGATGATCATGAGAAAAGTGAGGGATCAGCCCAGAACTACACGGGAAGAGCTTGTGAATGATCAAGGCAGTTGGGACCACAGTCACCAAACAAACCATTGGTAACACAATACACGGCCATGGACTGAGATCCTGCAGCGCCCGCATGGTCCCCCTCCTCAAGAAGGCACATGTACAGGCCACCTAAAGTTTGCCAATGAACATCTTAATGATTCAGAGAAGGATTGGTAGAAAGTGCTGCAGTAAGAGACCAAAATTGAGCTCTTTGGCATTAACTCAACTCGCTGTGTTTGGAGGAAGAAAAATGCTGACTATGACTCGAAGAACGCTTAAGGAATTAAGCCAGGTTATAACTAGACCATTAATCCTCATTTTTAAGACGCTAAAAGGTACAGGCCGCCTTTGCCACATTGAGGGGCCATGTATTGTAAAATCTTGGATGAGAACCTCTTTCCCTCAGCCAAATCAAATACTTATTTTACTCACTGAACTGCAACTCAATTTATAACATTTGTATTGTGTTTTTTCAGGATTTTGGTTGATATTCTGTGTCTCTAAAATACACCTATGATAAAAAAATTATAGACCTTTCATTTCTTTGTAAGCGGGCAAACTTACAAAATCTGCAGGGGATCAAATAGTTATTTGCCACACTGTATAGCTTTCTGCAACATTATCTATCTATCTATCCTTTGAGGGTGAAAGCAGGGCAAGCAGGTTCTCAGGGCCAAGGTACTGCTCAAAACATATAAACGTACTCCAGTCCCCCTTTCTGATAAAAAGCCGATTTCTGACATGATTGCTTATCATAGATTGAATACATTATTCAAGATTTTACATGCTATAACTTGTTTACATCAGTTTCAATTCATATATTTAGTTTTTCAAACCCAGTTAACAGATATTTATAGCATACGGTGATCAACACTACAGTATACTGTTGATTGCAAACAACATTTAGCGTTTTTATTTACATCTGCAAACAAAGAACAGATAGTTGCACTGGACAAACAAAATATGGGTAGTAAAAAGTTGCACTTTATCTTGGAAACATTTTATCTTCCACAGCCAAACGTTTTGTTCCAGTTTTCATATAATTCCAGATCTTTCTTAGAGACACTGGGCTTCATAACCTGGAAAGCATTTTGGAAGTCAATAAAAGAAATGGGTCTGACTTGTTCAGCAGTAATGGTGGCAATATCCATCGCCTGAATGCTGCGAATAGGACCAAGTGCTGCTTCACGACACAGCTGAGTCATATCTGCACCAGAAAAGCCATCTGCTTGTATGACTATTGACTCCACTTCTTGCTCAGTAAGGCTGCAGTGCTCCCGAGACATTAGGCTTACAACGATTTGTTTTCTGGCAGATGCCTCTGGAAGAGGTATGTACAGCCTCTTAACAAGTCGTCTTCTGGCAGCTTCATCTATTTCCTGAGGCCTATTAGTTGCACCAACTACAAGGATACGGTCTTCCGAGGAAGTTGTTGCACCATCTAGCTGCACTAAGAACTCTGTTTTAATCCTCCGTGAAGATTCATGCTCACTTTCACCCCGCTGAGATAAAAGAGAGTCTATTTCATCTATAAAGATCACAGCAGGCTGGTGACAACGTGCCACAGTAAAAAGAGCACGGACCATCTTTTCTCCTTCGCCCACCCATTTGGAAGTCAGTGATGAAGCACTAATGCTAAAAAATGTGGCACCAGACTGACAAGCTATACACTTGCCTATCAGAGTTTTTCCTGTTCCAGGCGGCCCAAATAGTAGAATGCCTTTTGGAGGCCCTCGAAGACCAGTGAAAATATCTGGTCTTAGCATTGGCCACACAACAATTTCTTTTATGGTGGTTTTGGCAAATTCCAAACCTGCAATGTCATCCCAATTCAATGGAGGCCCATGATCCATAATCTCACTCATGATTAGTTCAATCATCTTTGGTTCAATGTTTTTTAAACGCTCATCAGACGGTGCATTGGTCTCATTGCCACTAGCTCCATAAGATTTTTTCTGTACTGCTAAGTTCTCATCACCTTCATCTTGCCTAGCAATTGGAGGTATAAACTTTCCATATAGTCCACGAGAACGAACAGCACCAAGGGACTTCTTAACAGTGCCATATATTCCAGGTCCAGCGTGGCGCTGGGCCTGACTGTTATACTTTTTCTGTTGATCAACCCACAACTGTTCTTTTGCAGTTTTAAAGCCAATTTCATCGGCTGCAGGTGCATGTGCGCCTAATGGCTGTTTCTGACCTGGATTACTGTTTTCGGTCTCCACATTTTCATCGCCGGATGAAAGAACTTTTTTCCTCTTTGCTGAATTTGTAGAAGTACAGAAAGAAAATGTACTTTGTTCAGCCATGGCATCTGATTTTGTAGAACCTCTTGTTTCACTGTCCCCAAAAAGAGGTTTTGTCAAAAGAGTTTTAGTGCTGTGTACAGCAGGTTGTAAGAAACTAGCAGATGTACACTCACTGGCATTCATTAGTGTTGCAGCTTTTGAATTCTGAACAAAGTTTGAGCTTACTTGCGGAATCTTGTAATTCAACAAGGGATGTTTAGCTTCTTTCTGCTCTGAATTGCTGAGGACATTATTCGCAACCACTGAATTACCAGAGGTGCTGACCCCCTTCAAAACAATCTCCGATGAAGTCAGCAGAGACTCCTGACATGCCTTTGCTGTATTAAACATGTCCTGCACACTTTTTAATTTTAAAACATTGCTGGGAGTCAGTGAGGACTGCCATTTGTTACTGTCATTCCGAGGACATCTGGCCAAGGCCATTATGCTATCTGCATAGTTATTTAGGCCAGTCCCCTCCTTGTCGGAGTCAATGATGGCCGCATACCTTTCAGCATACTTCTTGAACAGGTGGACAGCCGATTCTTCAGAGATCTCAGAGTTTGCCCATGCATACTGAATTTGTGAGATATGTGCTCGATACACATCTGCCTTCTGTTCTGGGGAGCAGGTGCCAGAATTAAGAGTAAACACATTCTTTTGCCATTCACTCAGGTGAACAGAGCTGGAGTCAGGCCTCTGCATGGTTTTAGCTACAAAATAAAGAAAATCATTTGGAAAGTTAACAATGGGAGTTTTATGAACCTTACAAATATGTCGTATTCAATGATGTAATAAAAATTTAATTAATAACTAGCAAAACTGTGACCAAGAAGGAAAGCAAAGAGGAAGAACAGACACAGTTAATAGATCATAGAGATATCAGGGAGTGAGTTACAATTCTCCAGTGAGTAATTTGAAGCATACACAGGTAATGCCCAGGCATAAAGTTTACTTTCAGAAGAGTGGATGGATTAAAAGGGCAGGTGCCATTTAGTAAGAAAACCGATACAAGTCCTAACAAGTATCACCCCTCATTCAGTACTACTGTATCCATTCAGGTATTACTCAAATAACCCATTATTCTATCAGCAATAGTCAGAGGAATACAGAAAAGCAGAAGTCTAATATTTAATAAAAAGAAAAAAAAAACTGAGTTAAATCAAAACCACAGGCTTTTCAGGTACACAAATCAGAATGTGACTAACCGAATCATTAGTTAGAGCGGACTGGTAACTATATTGGTGGTGATATTTGGGTGGTTCCCTGTGCATTACCATCTCGCAGCAAGCATGAAAGTGCTCTTATGTGATCAGGTTTCTGCGAGTTTAGGAGTCAGCTGGTAGTTATGCATAGCAGATAGCAGTACAAATGCAATGCAGGAGGGCTTTGTACAGCATGTTTACAGCATAACCAAACAAAGGTTCTGCTCAGGTCAGTTCCTGACTAACAGGGTGCCTCCAATTGGTCGCTCTACCACAAACAGGCAACACCTGTACCTTTTGAATATGCTGTCAGTATTCAGTCTTTTTACCCAGCAGCAGGTTCCCACAGCAGAGGCAGGGAGAAAGGCCTTGAGCAGCAGTCAGCCGAGACAAAATAGGAGGCCTGGCTTCCAGATAAAAGGTGAATTTGGAATGGAGTCTAAAGGTCCCCACACACCTTACGATAATCGCGGGAAATCCCGCGATCGTATGATTATCGTAAGGTGTGTGTGGAAGCCGTGCGACATCTACTACTACTGTAAGGGTTTCAAAACCCGCCGAGCATCGTACGATGTTCGGCGGGTGTGTAGCATGTTCGTAAGATAAAAGCCAGACGGGCCGGTGTGCGCAAGCGCGCACTGCCTGTTCGGCATTGCGGTCATCAGAAGCCCGACCCTCAGGGGGCGTGGCTTGCGATCACCGCAAGTACGGTCTGCCTATGCAAGATAGGCAGATCGTACGTTTTTTTAAGTACCTTACAACCATCGCAAGACCATGTTTGTAAGGTGTGTGCCCAGCCTTAAGCTGCCCACACACCTTACAATTTATATGCAGATTTATATGCAGATATGCAATTTACATGCAGAATCTCCACCCGAGCCAATCTGTTGCACTTTTTCCATCTGACCACAGAAAATCTGCAGTTAAATTGTAAGGTGTATGGGCACCTTTATTGTCACCCAAAGCTCTACATAGACTTTGGGCTCCTGGAACCAGAATAGAATTTAAACCCTAGAGCCCATGACCATGTGTATGTGTGAAACCCAGGTGACACATACACTCTGTGCCTTACCAGCTCAGACATGTGGGAAGTGGCACAGTATGGCAACATATCATGGACATGCAATAATCCATCAGCATTCCTATGTTGGGTCCCTGGCCAGTGTTGTACAGAAACCATCCTGTAACACTTGCATTGTTCCCTTTGTTCCAAGCCATCCACTGCAATGAGAACAGTATGCACAACTTATGTCCACTTTATGGCGTGACACTCGCTTTCCACTATAGTTCCTCTTTGAGGGGTTAATTTGTGGCTGAGGTATGCTACTGGATGTTCTTCTGCATTAAGTTCCTGGCACAAGACTGCTCCCAGGCCAACATGGAGGTATCTGTTTGCACAAGAAATTCTTGACTGAAGTTTAGGGTGGTTAAAAATGGTCTCTTATACAAGAATTCCTTCAACTTTACTTGAAAAGTAAGTGTAGCTGCTATAGTAGCAAAGTTAGGTACAAACGTGTGGTAGTATCCCACGATCCCTAGAAAGGCTCCAACTTGTTTTATTGACAAGGGCTTGGGCCAACTAAATAGCTTCAGTCTTGTTCATTAGATAATTATTTTAGGATTACTCTTCCTCCCCCCCACCACCACACCCATCCCATGCTGTGGCCCAGATACCGGCTTCTTACAGGCATTGTGTATTTTCAGACTGTCTGTTAACCTGGCATTACAAGTGGAATCTAGAACTGCCCAGACCATCTGTAGATAAAAATATCAGTCAAGACTAAAAATGACAACATCCATATATGCCGAAGTATATGCATTATATACTCTGACATCCTAGCGACTAGAGCTGCAACAGTTATTCGATTAAGTCGATTAAAATCGACGATGGAAAACGTTGTCAACGTTTTCCATCGTCGATTCGTCGGCTAAAATGTGAATTTCCCACTCACGCCCGCCTGTTCGCAGCTCCATACACGGATTACGCTATGCACGCCACGGACGCCATGCCCACCGCGCACACGACGCGTACCCGGCCACCGCACAAGACGGACACAAGCCCGCAGAGCACGCCGCCGCCGCCGCGACTTACAAGGGTTCAGAAACAGGTAAGGGGGACCTGTTTTAATGTTTCCTGTTTAAAAAAAAAAAGCGGCACACTGCAGAACATTAGCAGCTATAGAGGACTACAAATCCCAGCAATAGTACATTAAACACCCTGTATAATGTATTATTGCTGGGATTTGTTGTTCCTCTATAACTGGTCAGTGGTAATCTGCATTGCGCAGTATAATCATTATACAGCGCACTGCAGAATACCAGCAGCTATAGAGGACTACAAATCCCAGCAATAGTACATTATAGTATAATGTACTATTGCTACATTCCTCTATAGCTGCTGGTATTCTGCACTGCGCCGCTGTATAATGTACTATATTGCACACCACACTTTTTTTTTACTTCCACCGCGCCAAGCTTGCTCCCGTGATGGACTACAATCTTAACACAAACTAGTCGTCAATCACTGGAGCCTTTTTTTTTTTTTTATCCGATTAATCGAACTTAATAATCGGCTAACTAATCGATTATGAAAATAATCGTTAGCTGCAGCCCTACTAGCGACTGGTATATTTTTCACATATTTACGCGGCATTTCAGCTGGGCTTGTGACAGCTCAGAGGCAGAAAGTGCTGCAAGCATAGTGCTTCCTGTTTCAGTGGCCAGGGAGCAAATCAGGGGGAAGGATGTACCTTGGTCTGCTCCTGCTCACCCTCTTGATAACATTGACAACATTTGCGATAGTCCCAGGCCCCTCAGAGGAGTGGGAGAGCCAGGAAACCACAAGAGGGGGGGGGATTCAGATTGCCTTTATAAAAGGCAACAAGCTTTCTTTAAATTGTGATATGCGAGTTGGAACATGTAACAAAAAGGAGTTATCCCAATTTGGCTGCAAAAGTGAAAATTCACTTCTTATAAATATTTGCAACTCTAGTCACAGGAATATCAAGCTGCTTGGATATGTATTGTATAGCCTTTACCTTTGTCAAGCTGGTTTATCATTTTCTTTCTGGTCTCCTCAGACAACTCTCTCCTTTGCTTTCTCTGGTCCATGTTCAGTAGGGCTGCAGCTAACGATTATAAATCTATTCTAGGGGTACCAACAATTCTGTCTAGGCCAGTTTAGAGAAAAAATATATACAGTGTGTATCTATCTATCTATCATCTATCTCTCATTCAAAAGAAAGTCATTTTGGATATCAAGGATAATCACCCCTGTAAAAAAAGAGAAAACAAAATAAAGTGCAAATTGTGTGTCCTCGCTAACCCAACTTGATCTTTTTGAACGTCATGCTAACAATTTATATAAACCGATTATTTTTCCTGCATGCGATGCAATGCAGTATCAAAAGGGGAATAAAGCTGGCTTAAAGTTAAATGCAAACTGTCCCTTAAAAGCCCTATCTGCCTGTATGTATATGTTAGTGTAGACTATAAGGCTGGGTTCACACCTAGGTGTATTGAATATGCTCGTTTGTCGCGCGTTTTTACCGCGATTTGCGATTAAAAAACGCGTGACATAAGCGCATTTCCGAGGGCCACCTGGCTGTATCCCAATGGATACGCGCAGCAAATACGCCCCAAAGAAGCTTCTGTACTTCTTTGGGCGTAGGGCGTTTTGTAGCGCGTTCATACGGCCTGTAATACGCCCAGGTGTGAACCATACCCATAGGAAATAATGGGATTTCGGTGTAGGAACGCGCTACAAAACGCCCAGTTGTGAACCAGGCCTAAAACCTAAACGACAGGTGTGGAACCGAGACATCGCCAAAACAAAATAAAAAAACAAAAAGAAAGGCTCTGGCACCC